AACTTCAAATCTTATGTCTTACGAAAGTAATTCTTCACTTAACAATTCAAACAAAGAGGATAAGGAAAAGATTTAAAAATTAAATGAGAAACTATCTAAATCCTCCAATAACTATTATATTGAAAAGTATGAAATTTTCTACATGTTTATTTCTTATTTTAAAACTTGAAAATAATTCAGTTCATTTTATTATAACTTCTAGATGGCACAATGGAGACATAAGACTAACAATCTTACAGCACTAAAATCCTAGCACTTAGAATATTTATGATTTTGAAACATTTATAAAATTAGAATTTGTGACAGAGGCATATGTATTAGAAAAGTTCTAAAACTCAGGACATTCTGTCGACATGGAGACTTTTTGCTTTTGGATGCTTTACAATTAAAAATGACAAGTATCAACAAAATGTGAATTTATTTCCCTTACATAACATTGTAAACTACCTTTAAAAAACAGCAAAACACAAATTAAGAAAAATAAAACCATCTAGCCTGTTCACTGCATCTAACTTGAATCTTAAAAATAAACTTGTTTCTGAGGAAGAAAAAGAATATAAACTTCTCAATGCTGAAAGCATAAAAAAAAACTTCTGAACTTCTGCAAGCACAGTTTGTCATCCTAAAGTAGGCCAAAAGGCAATTTTAAATGCACCTGCATGGGGGCCCGTCATTCCACAGTAAGAAAGCATCCCTGAAGAAATTCCAAAATACTTGCTATTTATTATACTTAGAGGACAAAAACTGCATTTCCTACTTCTTGTTATGTCCCTACCCCTTCCTCCTCTCTTTGACCCATTAGTTTAGATGTCTGTGTCTCTCTCTCTTCCTCTCAATTTTTTAAGCCAGCCACCCCTTTTAAGGGGTCTATACTTGCAGCAGCAGCATCTCAAATTGATATTAGTATCTTTTAGGAGCTTCTCTGAACTCTACTTGCTCCACTTACTGTATCAATTTCTCTTAAAACCTATTAATCAGCCTTTTACTTTAAAACCTTTTGGATCACCACTGCACAGAAATTTAAATCTCAGCACCTTAGCAGTACAGAGGGTCTTTTATATCAAGGTCCAGAATTATTTGGAAAGCCAGTCTTTCCTGCCAACACTCTCTCTTACCATAACAAACCCTATATACTCAGTAATAATAAATATCATGATTTACTATGCACTTTTATATCTATAAAAGATTTATTTATTCTACAAAGTTATGCACCAGGTACTGTTCTAAAGCATTTAAGAAATAACAACTTGCCGGGCATGGTGGCACACACCTGTAATCCCAGCACTCAGGAGGCTGAGATAGGAAGATCATTGTGAGTTCGAGGCCAGCCTGGGCTACAAAGTGAGCTCAAAACCAGACTGAACTGAACAGCAAGACCCTGTCTCAAAAAGACAAAAAAAAAAAAGAAAAAAAAAACTCAATTAATAGTCATAACATTGCTATGAGGTATGAGATAGGTACTGTACTATTATCCTGATTTTACAGATGAGCAACCCAAAGAACACCCCCCCTACACTCTGCTAGTAGGAATAGAAAACTGTTTGCTAATTCTTCAATATATCAAACATGAAGTCACCATATGATCCAGCAATTTCATTCCTAGGTATACACTCATGAAAAAAAAAATATTCCATCTAAAAACTTGAAACTTGTATATGAATGTTCATACTCTTTTGCCACAAATTATCCATAATTGCCAAAAGGAGAAGCAACACAAATCTCCACCAGCAGATAAACAGGTAAATCAAATGTGGTACATAGATGTTATGGAACATTATTTGCCCATAAAGGACTGAAGTACTGATTCATGCTACAACATGGGTGAGTCTTAAAAATATTATACTAAGTGAATGAAGCCAGTCAAAAAGATCATAACTTAAATGATTCTTTTTATAAGAAATTGCCAGAAAAAGCAAATTTATAAACAAGAAGTAGACTAGTTGTTGCCTATGGATGATGCGTGAGGAAATGGGAGCTACTGGGGCATAAGTGTTCTTTAAGGAATGACAAAAATGTTCTGGAATTAGACGATGATGGTTGCATGATCTTGTGAAAATAGGAAAACTACTGAATTCTACACTTTAAACTAATACATGCTAGGGTATATGAATTTCCTCAACAGGGCTCTTACAGAAAGAATAACATATACTAGATCTACATACTGAAACCACAAAACATGATTGAAATTTCAAGAGATCTAAATACAAGAAGATGTAATACAGTCTTCAAGAATCAAAAGACTCAAGATGTTGATTCTCCCTAGTTTGATCTATAGATTTCATACAGTTCCATTCCCAGCAGGCCTCCCTAGAAGTTGACAGGCTGATTCCAAAATTTATAGGGACCTATAATATTAAAATGGCAAAAAAATAAAGAAGAGAAAGAAGAACTTGACAAAACCCAGTAAAAGTTTGAGTATTTAAGTGTTTGGCTTTAAGAACAGTAATTAAGATACATTACACTGACCTAAAGATACAGATTAATGGAACAGAATACACAGCTCAAGAAACAATGCCATACATATACTGATAATTCATTTTCAATAAAGACACGAACATGATTAAATGGTAAAAGGATTTCAACAATGTTAGAAAAACTGGATACAGGGGGTGGGGTACAGCTCAATGGTACAGCCCTTGCCTAACATGCATACACTCCCGGGGTTTGATCCTTAACACTGCAAACAAAACAAAACCTCAACTCTACCTTAATTAATCACAAAAATTAACTTGAAATCAATCCTAGACCTAAATAGAAAAGCTGAAACTACAAAACTTGGAAAGCAGAAGAGAATGTGGGGCAAGGCAAAGATCTAGACAGGATTAAAAAAAAGAGTAAGAAGCAATATTAATCATACAAGAAAGTACCAGGTATCCAGACTTCATCAAAATTAAAAGCTTCTGTTCGTTGAAAGATATACTATGAATAGAGAAGTGAAAATGCAAGCCACTCACATGAAGAAAATATTTACAATAAATACTATCTGCAAAAAGTCTTATATCCAAAGTTCATTTAAAAAGTCTCAGAACTCTGCAATAAGACAAACAACTCAATTTTAAATGGGTAATTTGAATAGATACTTCACAAAAGAAAATATAGAAATGACCTATAATTTTGGGAAAAGATACTCATTATCACTAGCCATTGGGAAAATGCCACCTCCTTCTCATTAAGATGGCTACAATAAAAAAGACCGGCAATACCAGAGAGCTGGTGAACAAGTTCAAAGTCTCATGCACTGCAGGCAGGAGTGTTTAATTTATCAATTCATTGGAAGACTGGCTGGCAGTTTTGAATAAGGGTCAACATACATTTACCATATGATCTAGCAATTCCATCCCTAATTATTTAACCAAAAGAAATGAAGATTTATACATGAATTTCAAAGAAGTTTTATTAATGGGACCAAAAAAAATTCAAAACAATCTATCTGTCCTGTACCTGGTAAATGGATAAATAAATTGTGACCTATTTATACAAAAGAATACTACCTCATTATAAAAAGGATACAAACTTTTTTTTTTTTTGTACCAGGAACCAAACTCAGGCCCCTGCACTTGCTAGGCAGGCACTGTACTGCTGAGCTATATCCCCGGCCGACACACTTCTGAATTATCACACACTCTATAGCCTACCAAGTACACCACCATGCCCAGCTTGCTCTGTACCTTAAACATTTGCGGGCTTCTGATACAAATGGAAAAAATTTAAAAACATCTGACTCAGTGAAAGAAGCCAGATTTAGAGGATACATTTTCTTTTTATGATTCCATTTACATTAAGTTCCAGAAACACTAAACTAATCTGTAGTGCTAAAACTCAGATGAGTGGTTGCTTAGAATGGTAGGTAGTATGAAACTGACTGGGAAGAGGTATGAAGAAGTTTACAAGCTGACAAAATCACTGGCGATGTTTTTATTTTTGTTTTTGTTTTTGAGACAAGGTCTCTCTATGTAGCTCAGGCTGGCCTTGAACTCACTATGTAGTGCAGGCTGGCCTCAAACTCATGGTGATCCTTCTACCTTAGCCTACCAAGTACACCACCATGCCCAGCTTGCTCTGTACCTTAAACATTTGCGGGGGGTTATACAGTTATACATCTTTGTCAAAAGTTGTTAAACTATATATTTGAAATGGGTTCACTTTGCTGTACACAGATTATTCCTCAATAGAAATAATTAAAAAGAGGGGCTGGGGATTTAGCTCAGCGGCAAAAGCGCCTGCCTGGCAGGCGCAAGGTCGTGAGTTCGGTTCCTGGTACCGGAGAAAAACCAAAAACAAAAAACAAAACAAAACAGAAATAATTAAAAAGAAAAAATAGTCTTTGCAAGGAAGCCAAATACAGTATAACAATAGCAACTTAAATAAGACAGGGTAAATCAAGCAAAACATGAAAGCCAGAAAGTGGAAAAAGTCAGAAAAATAGAACCTGCATATATTATTTTAAGAAAGAAGACCTTGGATCATTCCTTTTCTTTTCTCTATAGGGAAGTTTTGGTAACTTATAATGAAATTATCAGGTGACACAAGAGTACTAAGGTTCATTAGTTGATTTCATATGCTCACCAGATTTTGAAGCCTCAGAAAACATTCACTTTCTAAGGTGACTACTGACATCTCTATACCACTATGAAAAATGTTTGGCAGGAGAAACAGGCAGACCATGAAGCACTGTTTCCTATCTATTGCCTTGGCATAAAACGTTTCATAGACCAATACTATCAATCCCAAACAATTTGGGCAAGAAATTTTGACACAAAGTGAAGCCAGAAATCCACTCCTTTCTGCTAATACCAGGCACAGTGTAATGCCAGCACCCCGAAAGGCTAGGATAGGACGATTCCCAGTTGGAGCCCAGCCTGAACTTAGTGAGATCCTGTCTCAAAAAAAAAAAAAAAAAAGTTTAAAAGGGCTGGGGAGGCAGTTCAGTATAAAAGCAAACAAAAAGAAAAGAAGAAGAAAAAAGACTCATGGGAACAAGATGACCAGATAACACTCACCTCTTCCACAAGAGACCAGTACTTGCTGTTACTGCAGATGCTCCCAGGAAAGCCACCACCATCAGTCTTCTCCTAGCCTGGGCAGGCTGTGATGCTCCATGGTACCATCGAGAACCCACAGCCAGTTCCGCCAACGCAGCAAGTGAGTTAAGACGAAACATCCTGTGGACAAAAAAGGAAAAACTGTCACTGTGGTGGCTGTGATGATGCTATCAACATCACCAATAAACACTGAGTGAGTATTACTCTGCAGCAGCACTATTCCAAACACTTTGCGTGTACTATCCTGTGTAACTCTCAGGACACTCTAGAAATGTGGTGCTATATAGCAAAGAAAAATTACAAGACAGAAACCACATGATAATTTCAACAGTCAAGTTTAATATGAAACATTGCTAATTACAACAGGAGATTAACTACTCAGGAACCGGACAGCAGACAGAAGCAGTAGCCCCTACTCCTAGGGCTGACACAGAGCATCAAGAACGAAACACATGTGTAAAATGGTCACTCTTACCAGGGCTCAGACCTAGATCTTGTGGTGAGGGCACAACCACGGCAGTTTGAGAAATTTATACCAGCAGAATTCACTAAAAAGCCACTCTCTGTGATGCCTGACTCTACTGGGAGAGTTCATGCCGATAGAATTTGTTAGGAAGGCAGGCCCTGAGGTACCGAGAAAAGCCACCACAGGGGGATGCCACAGTAATTAATTCCTTGGGAAACTGCAGTGTGAGGGTTGCTGCTAAAACTCCCTAGGGGTTGAGAGTGACTGAGTGTCCCACTAATCCTTGCCTGCCAAAGGAGCAAGCAGCAAAGAGCACACAAGAATCAGAAAGACAAAGCCTTACTCCTCCCCTGTCCCTAGATATCTAAAATAACAACGTGAAACAATAACTGGCAAGGGGGAAATTTCCAGAATCACAGACAACAATGAACATGTGAGAGCTGAAAAGCAATGGGTTGATAAGCAGCACCTTCACTTTATAGATGTACATCATGACTTACTCAGAAGAGTGCAGCTCTGGAAATGGTGGATCCAGAATTCAAACCCGGAGTAGACTGACTCCAGAGTCCAGATTTTTACAAAGAAGACTTGGCTAGTCACTTTTTAAGTAGAAGATTGTGCTAAGGGAATCCACCTTATAAAGCTGACATTGCTTTTGCTAAAGGAGTAATTTAAGGGGTTTTGTTTGATTTTTATGGTACTGAAGATTGAACCCAGAGTCTTGCTTGCACTGAGCCCTTTTCTGATTTTATGGAAAAAAAAGGCATAAGCAAATATAAGAGATTAACAATAGTTATTACATTGTGTAGTGTTACCTTCAAAGTAGTTACTCAATACAAGACATAAACCAAAAAGAGGCTCACAACAAAGAAACATAACACAAACTTTCTTTTCAATGAGCTAAGATAAACTAGTAGTATAAATGAAACAAATTAGCATATATATTAAAACCTATCCTATTCATATTCTATTTTAAAACAGAATATGTAATTTGGGGAATTATTTGAACTTCTCCCTACTTCCTATTTATCTCTCTTCTATTTAGCGCTCCTTCTATTTGTACATAATATTGTGTTTCTCATGTAAGAGAAACCATGCAATATCTGAGCTTGCACATATGGCTTATTTCACTTAACATTATATACTCAAGTTGTACCCATTTTCCTCAAGTTTGAGGGAATGTCTTAAGTACATCTTTCTTTATGACAGGTATTTCATTGTGTATAAGTACTATGTTTTCCTTATACATTCATTTGTTGATGGGCATTTATAATATTTGCAAGATCTAACTATTATATATTGTGCTGCTATAAACATGTTATGCATCTATACCAAATACGATGATTTTAACTCTTTTGGGAAGATATCTAGAAGGGGAACAGTTGGGTCAAACTAGGGTCTCTGTAAGTTGCTCAGTTCCCCTGGTTAGGCTTGAAACGGGCACTCCTTCTGCCTCAGCCTTCCAGAATGCTGGAATTATAGGCATGCGTCATCAGGCCAGCAGTAATTTATGATTTAATTAAATCTTTCTCACTCTCAAGTCCTTGGAAGCCATCCTGCCCATTTGATTCTTATATATCATACTTAAAACCTCACAAAGAAAAAATGCCTTTAATATTTTGCTTTACATCAGTAAAACCTGGGACCTTTTTACTGAGATGGCACCAAAACTGAAGGAAGTCCCTGCTCCTCCCAAAGCCAAAGGCTTTACAGACCAAGAAAAGCAGTGCTCACAGGCTCATCCAACTACAAAGAGAAGATCCACATATCATCCACCTTTTGGTAGCTCCAGAGACATCCCAAATATCCTCAGAAGAGCACCCCCAAGAGAAACAAGCTTGACTACTATGCTATCATTCAATTCCTCCAGAGCGCTGAGTCTGCCACTTGGGAGACACAAAACAACACACTCGTTCAAAGCTAACAAGCTCCGGATCAAACAAGCTATGAGGAAGCTCTGACATTGACAGGGCTAAGGTCAATACCGCAAATAGGTTGATGGTATATGTTCAACTCGCTCCTAATTATGAAGCTTTGGATGTTGCCAAATCATCTAAGCTGAATGCAACTGGCTGTTTTGTTTTGATACAGGGTCTCACCATGCTCAGGCTGGCCTGAGACTCACTATGTAGCCCAGACTGGCCTGGAACTCAGGAAAACTCAGGATCCTCTTACCTTACAGGATCCTGAGTGCTGAGATTACAGATCTTGAGTGCTGAGCAACTCCTGAGTGGTGGGATTACAGGTGTGCACCACCATAACTGGCTACTAAGCTGGCTGATTCTAAACATACATTTTTGTCACCATAAAAATCTGTATAGGTTCATTTTGTCGTTCAGTAAACATTCACTCTTCCATCCCTCATATTACCGGCAAAGACTACTGTTGGGGACCAGGCCATGTGATAGTTCAGGAGGGACCCAACGATGTGACTTAAGCTCCTCCACTGCTGTCCCAAGGAGGTTGGTGTTACCTTGCCTCAAGAACAGGGACCTGCACTCATGTATAGCTCTATTTATTTTCTTTAGAAGCCACTTTGAAGATACCAAAGTATAGTACAACAACTCTTGATAATCTCCTACCTCTTTTGTCTGTAACTCACTATTATTTGTCTATTTGTTTTCCTGAGAAACTATTTTGTAGATAACAATATGTAAAACAATAACCATTGATAATTTCCTATCATTTTGCCTGTAATTTGCTAAGTCCCCCCTATTATTATGTTATCCTTCTTTTACTCTTTAAAATAAAAAAAATAAAAAATAAAAAATAAAAAGAACAGGGACCTGTACACACAAACACACACAGAGCAGCCCGCATGCCCTCTGGCTATGGATGGAATGCTGATAACCCAGCATTCCTGAAGCAAGACCCAGCATTCCTGTGGAGGACAGTTGTCAAAATACAGGCATCTGGGTATAGAGAAAATCTAGTTCCTCATTGCTTATTCCTTATCTATCCCTCCCCCATGCTTCTTGCTTACTAATACAAGCAGATCAGCCGTGAGACTGCTGTGCTTGTTCACTAGAGGCAAGTTCCTCCTGGTCCCTACAAGGGACCCTAAATTCTGTCTTTTGTCCTTCTTCATTCCCTGTTGTCCAGCCCTCAGGTATCGGGAGTCTGATCACACACCACCACAACCACCCCTGCAGACCACTTCCTCACTTTTAGTTTTTAGTGTGTGTTTTGCCACGTGCTTTGCTTTGACCAATGGAACATGGCATGAAGTAAGTACTGGTAAGCAGTGCTAAAGTTCATGTTCTTGAAGATGTTCCTAAGAGATGATCATGTGGCAAGCAGACCTTGATCCCTCAACCTGGATTTCAAGAGATCTCAGCCTGCAATAAACCACTGTCATGCCCAGCAGGGCCAGGGAGTGAAGACACCCTGCAGAGTGAGCCACAGAGACATGGGGGTTGTTTGGTGCCACAGCAAAAGCTGACTAATTCATCTAAGAGAATTACTGAAAAACTGTCGCTCAAAAAGAATTTACTACACAAATGGTGTGAGATCTAAAAAGTCAAAATTTTTTTCATTCTAATTAGGCAAGGTACACCTGGAATATTTCTTTTTTAAATTTTTTTTTTTTTAGGCTTTTTTTTCCGGTACCAGGAATCAAACTCAAGACCTTGCACTTGCCAGGCGGGTACTGTGCAGCTGAGCTATATCCCTGACCCTGAAACATTTCTAAAATGATAATGTTTCTTAAAAGTACCTTAAAGAGGTATAAAATATTATAAATGATAGAAAATTAAAAGAAAGACTATGTTGAGACTGGATTAGCCAGCCAAAGGCTTTTATTTGGCCTTACACCTCAGAATCGTGTAAAATTTTGACCAAGTGACAGACATGTCAGGAGTACCAAAAGCCTCTGGATCATTTTGGATGCCCTTACCCAGGGAATTAATGGGAAATGACTGATTTCTCTACCAGTGGTGGCAAAAGTGTGGCACCTGCGGTACAGCAGGGTGTTTGTATCACTGAGCACTCCAAGTGGTTCCACATCACTGCGGCTGGACATGACAGCAGCCCTGAGGGCACAGTATGGGCTTTCACTCCTACATTCCTGGTTAGACTTAAGGAAGAAAAGGTGTCCTCTCTGGTTCCACAACCTTTTTATAGGGATGATTCATTCACATTATACAAAGTATCTATGTCTTCCCTTTTTCATTTTTCTCAAAATATACCAGTAGTGCACTGTTTCCTAATCTAAATTACTTTATTCTTGGTGTGTGTCTTTCTATGGCAATATATTTGTTAACATGTTTGTCTTCCATATTTGGCTTTGAACTTTTGTCAAGCTCAATTTTTTTTCCTTTTTGTAAATACACAAACATAGGACCTGTTACTCTACAGGTGCCAAAAATATCTCCTCTGTTCTCATTTTTTTATTAGTACATGTTTTAGCACATAATGTTTATATTCCTTTCAGGAAGTTGGTACATGTACATCATACATCTTAATTCCTTTTTTCTTCTCTTTTCTCTTCTTTCCCTTCTCCTTCCATTCACTTCTTGACCCCTTCCTTTTTTCTCCTTTTGTACACATTTGCTATCCAAGTTTACATAACTCCTGCGGGGTTGGTGCATGGATGTCATACATCTTAATTCCTTTTCTCTCCCCCTTTCCCTCCTCTCTCTCTCTACCTTTTGAT